TGAAACCATATCAAATATCTTCTCCAGTCACAATGGAATAAAACTGCAATTATACTCCAAGGGAAACTTTGGCAACTAGACAAATACATGGAAATTAAACAACATGCTCCTGAATAACCATTGAGTCAACAGAGAAATTCAGATGGAAGTCAAAAAAGTTTCTTGAAACAAATGAAAATGGAAACACAACATATACCAAAACCTGTGGAATACAGTTAAACAAGGCTAAAAGGGACATTTATAGCAATAAATGCCTATCTAAGAAAAGTAAAAACACTACAAATTAACAATATAACAATGAACCTGAAGGAACTAGAAAAGCAACAACAAACCACATCCAAAATTAGCAGAAAAAATAAAGATCAGAACAGAACTAAAGACTTCTAAAAACCAAGTAAATGATCAACCAAGTGAAAAGATCGTTCTACAAAAAGATAAACAAAAGTGATAAACCACTAGCTAGACAAACCAAGAAACAAAGAGAGAAGACTCAAACAGAATCAGAAAAGAAAAGAGAAACATTACCACTGATACTGCAAAAATACAAAAGATTATCAGAGACTATTATGAACAATTCTGTACTGACAACCTGGAAAACCTGGAGGTTATGGATAAATTCCTGGAAACATACAACCTAGCAAGATTAAATTAGGAAGAATAGAAAACCTGAAGCCCTGACATCCGTGAACCGTTCTCACAGCGGGTCCAGTGGTCCACTGACCACCTGTGATTATTTCCTCAGCGCTGGTTTGCATAATTGAAATAGACCTGCTCAGCAACAGGCAGAATCTGCAGTTCACTTCCTTTTTTAACTTTTATTTTCAGTTCAGGGGTACTGGTACAGGCTGTTTTATAGGTAAACTTGTGTTGTGGGAGTTTGTTGCACAGAATATTTAATCACCCAGGTTTTAAGCCTAGTAACCATTAGTTATTTTTCCTGATCCTCTCCCTCCTTCCACCCTCCACTTTCTGAAAGGCCCTGGTGTGTGTTGTTCCCGTCTCTGTCTCTATGGGTTCTCATCATTTAGCTCCCACTTATAAGTAAGAACATGCAGTATTTGCTTCTCTGTCCCTGCATTAGTTTGCTAAGGATAATGACTTCCAGCTCCATCCATGTCCCTGCAAAGGACATGATCTTGTTACTTTTTCTGGCTGCATAGTAATCCATGGTGTATATGTACCACATTGTCTTTATCCAGTCTATCATTGATGGGCATTTAAGTTGAGTCCACGTCTTTGCTATTGTGAATGTTGCTGCAATGAGCATATGTGTGCCTATGTCTTTATAAGAGAATGATTTGTATTCCTTTGGGTATAATGGTATTCTGTCTTTAGGTCTTTCAGAAATCACCACACAGTCTTCCACAATGGCTGACCTAATTTGCACTCCAACCAACAGTGTATAAATATTCCCTTTTTCTCCACAAACTCGCGAGCATCTGTTATTTTTTGACTTTTTAATAATCGCTGTTCTGCCTGGTGTGAGATGTTATCTCATTGTGGTTTTGATTTGCATTTCTCTAATGATAAGTGA